CCGCTGGCGGGCCCTGTGATTGGGTGTCCCTGGGAGCCTGCGGCCCCGCCCCCAACACGCGGAGCCCGCCTCCTTGCCTTACTCCGTCCCCAGAGCGCGGGTCTCCTCCCTTCGCCTGGGGCTCCCCAGCCCCCCCAGGAATACCCTCAAATGCCGGAAGCGAAGGTCAAAAGTAGGCGGCTAGTGGCCGGGTGGGATTCCAAAAGTGAACTCCGTTAAGTGCCCGCCTGGAAGCCTCCAGGTTTTAAAGTCCTTGGGCCCCAAAAGTAGGGGGTCGGGAATATAGCGTCCCTCCCAAAACGAGTGCATGCCCACTCAACCGTCATCGTCTTCCACGTGGAGAAGATGCGGCCCTGCAGAGGGTTTAGGTGCTGAGATGGAGTGGGCCCAGGAAGTGAGGGTGAGGGGTCACAGGAGGGGGGGTGGAGTGGGCTAGTGCCCTGAACTGGAACCAAGAACCACAGATGGGATGTAAGATGTTCTTCCTGCACAGGATGTGGTTCCCGAAGGGAGCGTTTATATCACCCCCACTACCTACAAACAGTTGACAAGTATTTGTTCAGCACCTGCTATGTGCCAGGCGTCGCAGGTGCTGGGTCGGGGGAGCACCAAGGGCCACTCCAGCTGATGACTCCTTGCATTCTCACCACTGCAGGGATGAGGTGCCACTCTTCTAGACACTACTTTCTCTATTTAAGAACCCCAAATCTGTCATCAGAGAATAAAGCTGGTATAAAGTGTTACCTCCTTTTGGAGGGTTTGAGGAGTGCAATGAAGAAAATATGGGAGTGACTACATTGTCTTCCAAATTTTGTGTCCCAAATTCAATATTTTTTGTTTTGTTTTTTAAGATATATTTTTATTGATTTCAGAGAGGAAGGGAGAGGGAGAGATAGAAACATCAATGATGAGAATCATTGATCAGCTGCCTCCTGCATGCCTCCCACTGGGGATCAAGCCTACAACCTGGGCATATGCCCTTGACCAGAATCGAACCTGGGATCCTTCAGTCTGCAGGCCGACACTCTATCCACTGAGCCAAACCGGCTAGGGCCCAAATTCAATATTTGGATGGAGACATTCAGTATAGTTTAAGAGCAAGAATAAGATTTGGGGGTCCTGTGCTAATTTAGGGTGTCATCTGAAAAAAGAGTCTAGTAGTCTGAAGAGAAGCCACATATTAGACCCTTTGCCCACTTCCAAGGGTATTCAGTTCTAGCCACGTAGGAGACTCCCAGCAGCCCAAGCTCGGTAGAGGCAGACAGAGACCATCTCAGTGTGACCCACCTTTCAGCAGCGTAGTTACACCTCATGGTGCTGATGGGCCCGAGACATGGAGGCTTGGGGCATTCTGAAAGCGGATACAAGCGTACCTCATCTTTGTGGGCTTCACTTTGTTGCGCTTCGCATAAGTGTTTTCATTAACACTGAAGCAAAGACCCTCAACCAACAAAAAGATTATGACTCACTGAAGGCTCAGATGATGGTTGGAAATTTCTTAGCAATAAAGTATTTTTAAATTAAGGTATGGTTATTGTTTTTAAGACAATGCTATTGCACAGTTAATAGACTACAGTATAGTTGTAAACATGCACCGGGGAGCCAAAACATCTGACTCACTTTATTGTGATAATCACTTTATTGTAGTGATCGGAACCATCCTGCAATATCTCCGAGTATGCCTTGTAATAACTACCATTTATTGAGCATTCACTGTACCAAATGCTTTATCACATCTAATCCTCACACCAACTGTGAGGTCTACCAAAACTGTTAGGTCCATTTTACTCTTAGAAACAGGCACAGATTTTTATCTGGCGAAGATGACAAGGCATTAAGTGGCAGAACCAGAGCTCTTCACATTTCGTGTTTGAAGTCACTCAGCTGTAAACCCCGTATTATGACAGGTTTCCATTTCGAGGCTCCAAATGTCTATCTGTCCTTCTAGCTTGGTGTGATCAGTGTGGACAGATCAGTGACCAAGCCTGGGAGTTGGTCCTCTCCCTTCATCCCTCATTCATGACCAGAGGAAAGCCTTCCCTGACCTTGTCTCACATTTGAGACACATCTTGTCCACTGAATAGACCAAGCACCGAGAGGGCAGGGGGGACTGACACTCGCTGTGTTGGCCCAGTGCTGGGGGTATATGTATATGTTTGAGGGCCTGACATCCCTGGATCTGAGTCCTGCCGGAACCATGCCTGTCCCAATCCCAATGGGGCTGGAAGCTGGGAAGCAGGGGAGGGCTGAATCCTACCCTCAGGGGACATCTTAGGGAGAGGAGAGACCTGGGGGTGAGGGTTCTGAGGAGTGAAACCACTTCCTGTGCAGCTAGTTCCTGTGTTGACAGAGCTGGAGGGGAGGCGGGGGG